TGACATGTCCTTGTGTCCAGGTGGGTTTTTACAATGTGACCAAATGTTCAGGTTTTTGCTTTGCCTCTGCTTTTCCCAGACACAAGCAGCTTTGCTGTTCAAGCAAAATCCACGGGTTACTCTGCCGTGTGTGGTTCATAGTTAGATCTGATGAATCTAACCATGGCACCATAGCAACATTGCCATATGGTGATGTGTATGCAGTATTTTCCTTATCAGTCTATCCTATACCTATGTGGTATAGTGTAGTGCATCCTGGTCCTAAGCTCTGCTACCTTTGAAGGCTTTCTCCATGGAATATGGGGCAACAGGCTTGTCATCTTCTCCAAGAATGGCACAAGACTACAAAAAGGAAGGCAGGCAATGACCAGCCTCATGAAGAAGAAAAGACATTGAGCAAGCAACTGCAAAAGGAGATCTAGGTTAGAACAAAATGGAGGGGAATCTAAGCCTGAGTCAGTGAAGCAAGAGAAGTAGATGATGGTAGTTATGAATGCTACCAGAATTCAGGGGGAAAGGAATTAGTTTCCACCTCTGCCTAGGAAGGTTAGGATCTGCAACTCACAGTTTTTTGCCTCCTTTAACTAGAGATGTGAAATACTTAACGTGCTTTGTAGACAAGAAAAATCTATACAAGAAACGATTTCCCTAAAAGAGGGTGTGTCTCTCACTTTCTCAGAAGATGAGGCTGGACCTGTCCTCTCTTAATTCAACACAGTCATTCCCAGTATCTGTTAAAGAATGTGTTTACCTGAGCAGTTCTTCTTAAACCATAGCAAACAAGGATGGTGTGACCACGCTAGCTGTGAACATTCGTTATGCTCACACTGAAGCCAGGTGGTAAGAACCTTTGAAAATGGCTAAGCCCTGAAGTGGCATACTAGATTCAGGGCCTTCAGGCAAACCGCTTCTAACAATATTTAAAAGAAAAACCCTGAATTGAAAAGGGGGCTGCACAAGGTTGCCTTCTTCCATCTCCAGTTTCTCTTGTGTTTGATTGTTGTGGTGACAAAAAGAGGAAATTAGGGTTAGTGACTTAGCACGTTACTGTTCATGATCTTCTGCTGCTTAAAAATAGTTATGCAGGAAAGTGATAAGGTTGCCCGTTAACCACAGACCTGGTGGAAATCGATGAGTTTGTCAATCACCCATTCATTTGGTAAAATATGGGAGCAGTTAAAATGCCCCTTTGTTTAGTGATAACTGATACAACAGGTGCCACAATCCAAGACACTGAAAGAACCAAAGCAAAGGCCCAGCCCAAGGACTTTCCCTGGAGACCAATTGCAAATGCAAGGACAGTGAGATTGTAGCTGCATGTGTGTATGGCGTGAACCAGAATGCACAGAGGAAGTAAGCAGACCATGAAAGCAGCAGTGTGAAAACAGCTCTGCGAGGAAGCCAAGAGGGAGAGTTCCTTTAGAGCAAGAAACTTGCTGACAAGGCAGAAGTGGGTTGCAGAACAAGGGAACCTATCCTACTGTTTGTCTGAATGATGTTCATAGAAACAAGACTCTGCATACATGATTTGTAAATAGCACCTAAAAAATGAATGAATCCATCCCAGTTCTCCTTAACAGAAATAACCCAGACAGGCTCCAGATATTAGCCAGGAAGCAGCAGTATTAACCCAACAGTTTTTTTTGTAGTGTTTGTGCCCCATCTCTGTATCTGTTTTCCTAATTATTTATTCTCTGCAGCTTTCCAAACTGAGGTATCACTTACTTGGCTGCCTTTATTAGTGCAGGCATCTTTCAAAACCCAGCCTAAAATCTGCTAAGAAGTCAGGAACAAGGAAATTATAAGGGTTTTGGTTTCCTTACCAGGTGTAAAATAACAATTGAGGTACATCCTCTTCAATCCAGTATAGAAGGAAGGAAGGAACTTTTCTGCATGTTTAAGAGACTCGAGAGGAATAAAAAGTGTGTTTGTACTGTAACTGGGTTTATTACCACTGAGATTGTTTGTGGAGTGTATTGTTAGAGCACAGGTGTTAAGCTAGTGCATTTTGGTTTGGTTTTCATATCAGACTTACATGGGTTCATTGTATCATGTAACTAAAAAGACAATGAATGCCCCCCTGCCCCGCTAAAGCATTTCCAGTGTTCCAGTGTTTGCACAAAAATATAGGCTGCAAAACAGTTTGGCTTGTACAAAACAATCCTTTCGGGGCCTT